CAAGAATCTGTGTTATGTACAGTAATTAGAAAATTTACAGATGTAGCCAAAAAAAAAAGTGAATTATTGGGTATATATGGCTGGATTAATAGGATGCTATAAATATACATAAATGCTATAAATATAAGGGGGGGGGGGGCAGAGTTCAGTAGAGAGACAGCTCTGGGGAGGAATCTGTTCCTCAGTCTGCTGGTTCTGGTCCGGAGGCGTCTGAAGCGCCTATTTATATCTGTATATTTCATTTATGGTGATTAAATTCCACAAACAGATTAAAGCTAAAAAAAAAAAAAAAAATCAATTGATCCTACAATCAAGTGCTTCCAGAAGGTGGTCCACATTATTCTTCGTTTATCTGGAGTTGTCCACTGCCAGCCACATCTTCGCACTTGGTGCTTACTCTCTGCTTCTTTTGTTTATATCTTGTATGTAATGTACAACGTTTTTGCCTTTGTCGTGCAGGTCAGCGACACAGAAACACGCCTTGAATGTTTGCTGAATAACAACAAAAACTCAGACTTCTGTGCTCCCCTCACCTCCTTTGATTGGAATGAAGTTGACCCAAATCTGCTTGGTAAGAAAAAGCAATTTATTGTAAGGAGGATGTAAATTGTCCTTTGATCCTCTTGAATTTGGTGTATTGAAGCATGGCGGTTCACTTCTTTTTTTTAGGCACGTCCAGCATCGACACCACGTGCACCATCTGGGGGTTGGAGACCGGCCAGGTATTAGGACGGGTCAACCTGGTGTCTGGACATGTGAAGACCCAGCTGATTGCTCATGACAAAGAGGTCTGTATACGTTTCTGTCTGCTACATGATGGGCTTCTGTAGAGGACCTGAAAGAACATTCAGCTCATTGTCTGCATGTGTCTGCGCAGGTGTATGACATCGCATTCAGCCGTGCAGGAGGTGGAAGAGACATGTTTGCCTCTGTCGGAGCTGATGGATCCGTCCGAATGTTTGACCTCCGGCACCTGGAGCACAGCACCATCATCTATGAAGACCCCCAGCACCACCCGCTGCTCCGCCTCTGCTGGAACAAACAGGACCCCAACTACTTAGCTACTATGGCTATGGATGGCATGGAGGTAAGATGGCTGTGGTTTTTTTCCCCCAGCTTGTAGACTGTGAAATGTCTTTTATTATTTAACTCAGAACTCTTTAAATTTCCCCCCCAAAAAAAACAAAAAACAGAAAAGAATTAAAGATTAGATATGTGTTTTTCTCTTCTCTCTTGTGTCTGGCATTACATTTTTCTTTTTGTCATAGGTGGTCATCCTGGATGTGCGTGTGCCTTGCACTCCGGTGGCTCGGCTGAACAACCATCGCGCTTGTGTCAACGGCATCGCCTGGGCCCCTCACTCCTCCTGTCACATCTGCACTGCAGGTAAAGGCACTTACAGATCTGAGGATAACAACAATCGATCAGGGCAGAATATAACGTTTCAGGCATGCCATATAATGCAACAGTTTGTGTGCCTTTTGATGTCTTGTTATTTGAATTAGGTAATCCCACTTTCAAAGAAAATGTAGAAACCCATCAAGTTTACAACTCACTTTAACAACACTTACTGCCTCTTCTTTCTGATCCAAACAAGATGGTTGCCTGAAAAATGTATTACAACATGACCATAGATATCAATTATAGTGGGATGCATATTAACTACTTTTTAACATTACAATTAAAATCTGCAATAAGTTAATTGTGTAGGAGCTTTCTAGAGATTATTTAAGTAATATCTTTTGTGACCTGTGAACTAGGGCCTGATCGATACCAACATTGGGGAGGACAAAAAAATCGGCCGATATATTTCTTAGATCTGTGTTCGATATGAAGACATAGATGTAGATATACACCTTGATTGCGTTGATCCCTCAAATGCGGTCATCAAACACTTGTGGAAAAGATATTTAATGAAGACAAGATGGTCACTCAACTGGGAAGTAGCTGCGCTTAACACTCCGGAGAATTCTAATACTTGTTGTTATCCATATTTCACAATCTGCTGGTGACATTCAGTGAAGTACAATTAAATGCTGTTTGATTTCTTCTGAAAATCTGAAATATTGGTGCATATTTGGGATAAAATGTGCCGATTAACATATCCAGCTGGCAGATTAATCGGCCATGCTTTTCTTCCCTTTATCTGCTCTCAGCTGCCCTTCATTCATTCATTCATTCATTCACTGTTTCTTCAGTAAAATATCTCTCTTGATGTCTCTTCTTTCGTCAGCTGACGACCACCAGGCTCTGATATGGGACATCCAGCAGATGCCTCGGGCGATCGAGGATCCCATCCTGGCCTACACGGCTGAAGGGGAGATCAACAATGTGCAGTGGGCCTCCACGCAGCCGGACTGGATCGCCATCTGCTACAACAACTGCCTGGAGATCCTGCGCGTCTGAACCCATGAACACTTCATGAAGAAGAGCAGGAGCGTTGTTTCCGATTTGGACTTAATTTTTCAGTCCTCGTCCTGCGCCACTGAGAAGGATGAGGTCACAAGTGAACTTCCTGAACGTGTTTGGAGTGTGACACCACCTGCTCCAACAATAACCTGGTTTACATTTTCTCTTCATCTCCTCCCTCAATTCTTCTTTCTTAAACGTGTTAGAGCTCTTATTTATTTGCTCACAAGGTAGTGTCCATCTTCATCTGCACCGCAGCTGTAAGAAGCTTAGAGCAGTTATCTATTAAAATCTACTTTTTATACTTGTTGGTGTGATTTCAGCCAGCTGTGAGATTATCATGAAGGGTTTTGATGTAGTGTGTTTCATCTTGTTTGATTTGTAAAGATTGATGCAAACTACTGTAAGTGGCAGAAGATGACCTCTTTATTGTACCAATTTGTTGTAATGTGGACTCAAAAGATCAGTACATGAAAGTCTTGTTTAACCCTGGTGTGATTAAAAGTTTCATCAAGATGGTGTCTGTCCAGTTTGATAGTATGGAGGCTCAAACGTGTGACCAGTGCATTTATTTTGATTGTAGAATAACCTGAGAGGGATTCACAAAGTCACTATCAGAGAATCGTGTGATTTTAGTCTGGCTGCTGATGCAGTGAGGCAACACTCATAATCTACCAGAGCAATGTCCCCCCCCAGCCTTTTTATCTTAGACTTACTCTCTGCTTCTTTTGTAGAAAAAAGTGTTTGGAAAGCTGCGTTTTCTTCTTTGTGTTAGAGTAAGTTGTGAACTGGGAGTAGAATGGAAAAAAAAACAAAAAAAAACGTTCAAACTTTGTCTGCCTCTTTTTCTTTGTTTTCAATGATTAAAGGGTCGTGTCCTTGTTGCATGCCATTACAAGGCGAAATGTACATACATATAAATATATCAACCTCAGATGTTGATAAGCCAAGTGTTCATGTTTTAGCTTTTTCATAAAGTTTATTATTGAATTTACTCTAATAAATTGTATTTCTCCATGTCCTAGGAACAATATTGTCAGTGTGTTGATTTTGTAAAGACAGCTTTTCGATGACGGTCATACTAGTAAAGAAAGAACTCAACAAGTCATGCTCTGAACACGACTCCAACAGGAGGGCAAGTGAAAAGTACTGGGGCTCTTACAAAATGAGACTGTAGATATTGAAACTTCAATTTAGCTGCCTGTCTGCCAGAGACAAAAAATACATTGATAAGCTCAATATTGTCTGTTTTACCTTCTTACCTTGGATGTTGATCTGCAACCTGACTCAAATTTTGAGCAAAAATGTAATGATGATCCGTGATCTGAATCCAACTTTGACCCTGGACATGATGAAATTGTTTATTTAAAAAAAAAAAGAAGATCAGCAGGGACCTGAATCAAACGGAGGAAAAATATTGATCCTGGACCGACCAGGTGCACCTCAGTTGTGCAATCTCCTGGAAAAAGAGCTGTGAAGACAAAACAGATGAGGGAAAGGAAAACACAGAACAGAGGAAAACAGCTTAACATCAACCTTTTCCGAATCACCAGATAAAACCCTCATTTAAGATATAATACGTCGTTCAAGTGTCTGACTTCAACCTACATCTAACCACATGACTGTCAGCATGCCACAGTTTTCCATCTCTACCTACTAACGCCCGGTGTTTTACTGCTGATAAGCACCCCCAATGCTATTTAAATGTTACTGTGATCATGCACGACCTGAGGTGACGTATACTTAAATGACAATAGAGGGGGCATCCGGATTTGAACCGGGGACCTCTTGATCTGCAGTCAAATGCTCTACCACTGAGCTATACCCCCTGACATGCCAGAAGGACAACTAGTATCAGACTTTATAAGCAAATATGGGTGTGTGGCTTCTGTTTCTATTGTGTGTTTGCATAGGATCGCGTGTGTGTGTTTGCGTGTGTGTGTGTGTGTGTGTGTGTGTGTGTGTGTGTGTGTGTGTGTGTATGCACCTGCACCGTAGTTTAGAGATGTGCTCATGATGTAAATTGAATACGTCATTCTTCTAAATTTTAAATGAATATCCTTTCATTTTTTTTATTTTTTATTTTTTATTTTATTTTTTTTAAACTTTGCTCTGTTTTATTATAAAATTAAAATAATATGTCGTCTAATGATAATTCTTTATTTTATATAAATTATGAATCCTGGGTAATTTTTACTCACAAGACAAAGAAACCAAAAACATATTTGAAGAACCTCTGTGCCCAAATGAAAAGTTCGCCTTGTTTATCATAATTTAGCTTTAGGAATTTAGTTTCTTTAGGAATTATTGATCACTTTTTGGGATCTATGCAGTGTTACCGGCTATGGGTGTTACTCATTCTGATGTTCAACCACAAGGTGGCGCCAGAGCCCATATTATAAATTAGCTGCACGAGTCAACGCTTCCTCTCACCGCCTATACTGGAACCATTTTGAGGACATCTCCTGTCGTCGACTGTCTTGTGTCTGTTGGTTTGATGTTTTTTGCGTTATATTCAGAACAGGATCAAAAGTGCATCAGACAGTCAGCGCAGAGTCAGACCCACCCGTACATAAAAAAACAGACACACATCATGGAAAAAGGCAGTTTATTGCAACACAAACAAATATAACCAAGCTTTTAAAGACAACATACTGCGGTATTGGATGAAATTAGATAAAATAAACATATGTGATAGCTTAAGACTTGATAGAATCAATCAATAGCTGCGCAGATTTAAACATACTGAAACTGTGTTTGATTACTACAGCAGGAATGATGTGCATTTTCAAGGTTTGCAGTCCCCAGCTACCACTTTGTTACACTCATTAAAACCTCTTTTAAGTGACACAGTCCTCTCTACCTCACATGGATTATCTGTTTCTCTTAAATAGGTCATCACGTCTCTGCATCCAACGAGAGATTTTCTGGTTACATGATAAAAACATGAAATGGAACAGGCCCCTTAAATGCATGTTTTTCATGGGAAGAATACTGATATTCAAAACGGGAGCGAGATCAGGAAGAAAAAATAAATAAATGATGCGTTGGAAAAGGTAGGAACTGCATGATCTTGGACGGAGTGATTCACGGATAGTACAAAAAGCGATTGTGGGAGAGTTTGAGCGGATAAGGCAAGGAGAAAGGAAAGAACCAAGAGATGGATCTTTTCTGCTTCATGGTGACTTCCCTCTAATGTGTACTAAACAAAAATCCAGAAATGGTGTCCTCCCGTTGTGTTGTCGTGGAGATGTGTGGTATTGTGGGAATAGGGTTATGGTCGGTCATGGTCAACGCAGCATCACCAGGCAGACAGGCTGGGGGGTTAAATCTCTCTTGCTGTTGTGGGGCTTGAGCTCCTAGCTGGGAGAAAGCGCAGGGCTGGGTTCGGTGCTGATGCTGACCAAACACTCGCTGGACTTGAGGCTGGCCAGGGACTTGGAGCTCGGTAGAGAAGCCAGGGAGCCGCACAGACCGAGCATGGAAGGAGTGTCTTCTTTTCCTGTTGGGACAAAACAGAGAGAAAGAACAGTGTAGCAAAGCTGCTGATCATGCATAGTTTAAGCTGCCCACATGAAACACCATACACAAGATTCAAGCCTGCCTTTGTATGAGGACGTATGTTCATGTGCATGGGTGGCTGCCTCTGAAGGCCTTTTATACAGCAGAGGAATGAGCACTAATATATTCCCCACGCAAGCAGGATTACTGTTACTTAACAACTTTTTTTTTTCCTGCACTGGAATTTCAGTAAACTGTTGCTAAAACTCAAAATTTAAATACCTCCCACAACATAAAAGTGCACAAAAGTATAACAAATCACAGAACATTTGTAACCTCCAAAATATTGCAGTGGGGAATGTCATTCTTACCTGCTGCACTCCAGGCAGCATCTCCATTCTGTCTCCCATCTATTTTCTGGCAGTCGGAGTTCAGACCGACTTCATTGGTGAGCTGTTCCAAACTGTGAAAACTCCTCCTGGACGTGAAAAAAACTCATCATCATCATCATCATGGTAAAAATAACTGAAGCAATGATTTGAACATTAAGTGCATCTGAGAGCACTTGCTTATTTTGCCTGCTGCGGACATTGTGTCAGGTTACCTGCGGAAAAGCTTGACATCACCCTGGTTGTTTGGGATGGTAGACCACTGGTTGACCAGCGGGATAGAAAAATCTTTAGCCAGGTGGGAGGAATCACAGGGCATGAGGGCAGAGCTGCATGGAACACACGGTACAAAATGTTCAGTTTAGATGGGATCATTTAAAAGCTCTCCGTTTGTGTGGATTTTGGCGCCCTTTTTGACAATACAGAACATCTTATCTCTTTACTGATCTTGTCCTGTACATGCTTAAGTCAGTTTTCTGATTTAAAAATAAATCTTTTAAATAGCAAACGTACCGCTCACTGTTAATACGTCAGGATATTTTCTCTAAAACTTACAGCTGCATCCAGATGCTTGGTCATTTTAAAAAACTCCATACACATACACACACTGTACGGCCCTTGTAAGCTTCTGTTTGTTTGTGAGCGAAAGACCAAATGAAGGTATTTCAAACAAGGAGTGATGAGGTCTGGAGGCTCATGGTTACAGTTGGTGCTTTTTAATCAGGCTAGTGTTATGCAAAGTTTTGGTGTGTGTTCTTGCGATTTCTTACAGTTGTGCCTGCAGCTCCAGCACAATGGCTTCCAGCTCCTTCTTCTCCTGTTGACTTTGGACGCTCAGCTCCTCCACCTTAGCTCTCAGACACTTGTTCTCTGTCTCTACGTTCTTCAGCTGTGACTCTCGCAGGCGGACCAGCTCCTCCAGGTAACCCTGCAACAGGACAATCAGGAGAATGTGGGGTTTTTTGTGTGTTTGAAACCAGGGAGAACGTATACGGCAATAAGTTGCTCCTAGCAGTTTGTAGTCACCTTCTGGGCGTAGACGATCTTAAACCTTTGCTCCATCTTGCGACACTTGTTGCTCCAGCTCTCCTCGTCGGTCACCAGGGGGATGTAGGGATGCTCTGGGACACTCTCCTCACTGTTACTGCTGTCCACACTGCGGCGGTCGTCCTCATCGCTCAGGTAGTCGTAGCTGCAGATCAGAGAGGCAACATTATCTCAGAGTAGCGTACATACATACTGCTAAACATAAAGTGACAAGAACAGCCGGAAGCAACTCACCTCTGAGTAAACTTCAGGTAGGTGTATAGTCAATAACAGCCGGGGATTTCCCATCCAGAGTCTCTCCCTTCAAGCAAAAACTGTACAGAAAAAAAAAGAACACAAATAACCCTAAACATGGAGTTGGAAGCCTGCATGAGGTTTTTACATCGATACGATACATATATGTACAAAATAAAAATAAAAATTGGTTTCAGATATCTTATGATTTAAGTATAGTCTGTTAAAGAGCCATATCTTCTTCTTACTTGGACTATTCAATTCCATCCATTAAAAAAACCCAGTAGAGGCTACTTGTGAATTAGGACAGCCTGTGCATCAGAGTTTACTGTGTGTGTGCGTGTGTGTGTGTGTGTGTGTGTGTGTGTGTGTGTGTGTGTGTGTGTGTGTGTGTGTGTCTTTACCTGAAGTCGATGGCACTCAGGCCAATCAGCATACCAGTCAGCACAGTGGCCTCCTCTCTCAGCATGATGGCTCCATCATCGTAGAACCTCCTGTCAGGGAGAGAGGTGGTTATCATCCGTTATATAAATGAAACGTATGGCATTGTATTGTACTGCATCCTACATGATGTGACACTGATACGCCGGTGATTCTTCTACAATATATTGGGTTTTCTAAACGGACCAGCACTTTCTTCTGAGGCAAAGAAAGTGATGTTTATATTTTCTTTAGCTTTTCACACTAAAAAAAACACCAAGAAGAAGATAAGCAGACACCATGAAAGTGTAGCATTCCAGCAGCAGGGGTCATGTAGAATTAGGGATGCATGATATGGGTCTTTTTTCAGCTCATACTGATTACTGATAATTGCATCTTGTGGCTATTACCAACAAAATAACCAATATTTCATATTTTAACCATTTAAAAAAAGTTTTCCTAAGAATACAAAATGCTAAAATGTAAGGAGCACAGACAGACTGATTGGTGCAAAGCTGTTAAAACCCTTGTTGGTATCATGGTGTCTTTCCTTCCATAGTGTTTGTCACAGTATTCTTATTAAATAAGTCAGATCCCTGTAGAACAGTTCTTTGATGGCTCCACCTCATTAGCTCTAAAAACTCAAATCTGTCATACAGGTGATATGGTAAGCCGTTGACGATTTTGTACTGATGTCACACTGAAAGGCTGACATCACATGATAATATATCAAGCATCCCAACCTAGAAAAAAGAACTGGGCTATAATGAATAAAATCAGATATGAGCAGATTCTCAACTGTAAGATTTAGTCTGACCTGGTTGTTCTTGTGTCCCTCAGAGCAGTGGATACATATTCAGACAAACGTTTCTCCATCAGCGCTACTCGAATCCAAGCACGCCCCTGAAACACAACATACAAAGTGAGTGGGAACAGAGGGGCCCTCTCTGCTGCTCTGTCCTGCAATATCTCACACAAATACACACTCAGTCTGGCACACTTTTCCGGCACACAAGTATCCTTGCCTTGGCTCCTGATGTGCTGATGTTCTCTATGTTTTCGATGCTTGCAATGCAGTTGTTCTGCACCTTGCTGCATGCCAGCCGGATATATTCCCAGAAGCTGCGCTGTCCGTCTGAGCTAAACCAGCTCCCCGAACCTGGTCGAGAGCGCACATCAATGAGTCAGTTATGCTCTGACAACAGCTCACACATTCATCACGCAACAGCAAAGTTAACATTCCATGATTAAACAATTTTTTACCTTTTTTTTGTTTACATCATGAACTACACAGTGGATTTCCCTTTTATATCTTACATACCTAAGTTTGTACTGTCTAAAATGTGTAGTACTATAAACTGATTTGTCTATCTTTTCCTGTGCCGCATCATGTTACCTGCAGTGTTACCTTTGAAGCGGTGGCTTAGTATGTGCTCTAAAATGGCAGCAAAGTTAATGAACTCCTCTGATGAGTCATCTATGGGCTCTGTTGTGTACTTTTCGAGGAGAGTCTTTACAGAGAATCTGAAATAGAAGAACACAGAGAGAGAGAGAGAGAGAGAGAGAAATTCAAACAACAAGGCAAAGCAAAGTTCACAGCAATAGAACAAAAATCTCATTTGCATATATGTGAAGGATTTTAACTTTCACTTGGTTGTGTGCCGCAGGAGCTGATGATATGCAAACGTGTACTGTACCCATGCAGACAAATGTGGTACTGTATGTGAACCCTACAACAATAGCGGGGAGAAGGTTTTTTTTTTTTCTTTTTTGGGAACCACGCCATCTTGTCACACTGAGGTCACCCCAATTGTCTTGTGTACAGCACAATGTACCCCTTCAGTGCTTTGGCAGTGTTATCGTGAAAACAATACAATTAACCCCCTGTCTTTCTCAGCCTTTGTGCATGCTGTGCTTCCAGGTCCCTTTGGGTCTTGTCTCTCTGAGGGACCGGCAAGCATCAAAGGATGATCAAATAATTCCCTCCCCCTCATCTATACATTGTGCTCTGATGTATTTAGGGAAGCCGCTGTAGCTTTTTCTGTTTGGTTTTTGACCTCACACGATCACCCCGCTGCACTACAGGGAGCTATGCAGCTTGAATGATAGGAGCTGGGTTTCCAGGCACGGGCTCGGGCTGACTGCCACCGCTACAATGGGCAACACTAGTATTACAGAGGGCAAGACTGCACTGGCAGTCGGAAGCACCTCCATAGCCAGGGGAAAGACTACCGTCGCTTTAGGCAACTCCTCCATCTTCAGGGGAGTGACCACCACCTCCATGGGAGATTCCACTATCCAAAGGCAAAAGACGACTCTGGCTCTGGGACGGGCCAGCTTCAGCCGGGGAACCACAACAACCTCCTTCCGGAAAGCCTTGATGTCCAAGCGCAGGACCACCTAGATGGAAAGGATTCCTGAAGCAAGGGCTAAGACACCCAAGGAAGCCAAGCAGTCCAAAAAAGACTCTAACAATGAGTGGAAAACCACATTCTCGTCAAGCAAGACCTCCTTCACCAAAGGCAGGGTTTCGATCCTGAGGACTAAGTACGCCATCTCCTGGGGCAAATCCTCCGTATCCTGGAGCAGAACAACCATAACTTTAGGCAACACCGGCTTAGCGGTGGGCAAAACCTCTGTTACACGCGGGGAGACCACGAGCTGTCTCACCACTCTGACCTTTACCCATGGGACCAAGTCTGTGTCCGTGTTCAAAACCACCCTCACCAGGGGCAAAGAAACCCACAGCAACATCTACTGGGATTTTCATACCTGATTCCTGCACACACTTACTAACCAAAGGATATTTCAGTCCGGTCAGTTTAAGCAGGTCAGTAGTAGTAGTTTAAAAACAGCTGTTGATGTTTGTGATCAATGTGTTTCAGGAATAAACAGTGTGGCATCAAGGTCAGTGTGGTATCATCTGCTGCCTTTTTGCACAGGGTACAAGAGGAGATGTAGATCAAATGGGTTTTCAATCAAGAGTGAGACCTTCCGTAGCCATGCTGAGGGTGTTATGCAAAGTGACAGCGACGAGATGATGCTTTATGGTGTGTCTACGTTGAAGGGAGGGAAACTGTGATACAACCATGTGAGATATTTGTGGAGACACAATTGGCCGTGTGTTTTTCATCAGCACCATTGTCCTGTTCATTGTGTATGTTCGGCCATCAACATGCCTACATCTTTGGTGTAAAGTGGTATTTTTTTTGTTTTTGTTGATGAGATTGGTTGATGTTGTGAAGTCTGCATGCATTTCCATAACTATAATGCCCCATTGTCCACAGTTATGAACCAGAAAACCTGAAAGCTGGTTGATGTAACAATGCTTATAAAAGTAACATGTCAAACAATGCTTGGCTTGATTGGTTTGTATATAGATCCGAGTTATTCTTTGATCTAAACATGTAACTGGTATTTAAAAAAAAAGACTCAAATGACCACACCCATATTTCTAATGGAAGGACAACACAATAACAGGGAAATGTGCAATCAAAGCCTCGACTACATCTGGAGAACATAGAGACATTTATCCTTTCTATTATCAAATCTGACACTGAGCGACTCATTACACATATGGTGTATACGGTCATACACATAGGCCATGTCTTACAATCAGAGGCTATAGGGAACAATGGTCCAGAAGAAAGTGATGTCACCGCGGATAGCTCCCTTTGCAACAATGTGTCCTTCAACCGTCCGGTGTCGTCGCTGCGATGGGACAATCGCTCCACTGTCCCAGTCCGCCCAGATAGGCTGTGGCCACCTACGGCTGCCTCTGTCTATTCACAGGGACACATGGGTGGTATGTGGCCTTCCAGAGCCCACGTCGATCAACTCAACGAAGGCATTATGTTACACGGGGGTCGTGCTATCCACGCTTAGCATTCTGGTGTGCTCTGGATTGCAGCTGATGTTACTATTATCCCGTGGGGCTGAGCAGGGTGTGCTGCATGAGCGTGTGATGCTTTTCATCGAGTAAGCTCCGAAAACCTGCCGTCGAATCTGGGTCAGGAAGAAGAGCTTCTCCCCAATGGGCAACACCAGCTTCAGCGAGGGGAAGACGGCCCTAACCCTGGGCAACACCACCATAAAGAGGGGCAAGAGCAAGCTGGCTATGGGGAACTCTTCAATCACCAGGGGCAGGAGCCAGACATCTCTCGGCTCCTCCACCATAACCAGCGGGAAGACCAAGATCTCCCTGGGTGGTGCCTCCTTCAGCAGAGGCTCTACCACCACCTCTTTTCGGAAAGCCCTCTTCCCCAAACGCAAGACGCTTTAGGTGAGAGGGAACTTGATCGTGGGGTGGGGGGACTGGCACAAAATGTCACAAGAAAACTGCACCATCACAGAAAACATATGGACAACACTACTGCATCTCAACAGGGTATTTTTTCCCTGAGAGCGACAACTGGATTAAATTTACTTCTGGAACTTTGACTTTTTTTTCTTGCCGGATTTATCAAAGAAACAGGTCAGTTGTGTCTTAATTCCATCTTATTAGACCAAGTATGTCAATCAGATTTAAAGGTTTAATAGAGCTCAAGCATCTTAGGTAAACTCCAGCATGGCCCAAAATCACACAAAATGATCCTCTATGCAGATGACGTTAGTTTGTGAGTAGGCTCAATGGGGCCTGGGCAGAAATAAACAAATATTGTCTAATTTACGCTCCCTGCAGAGGTATGTTATAGATCACTCCTTTGTCTCAATATGTCTGATCAGAAAAGAGTTTCCCCTTCAAGTTTTGCTGCATATGACTTTGACATTTTTTAGAGGATCTGAAATCTTAGAGGAAACTTGTCTGAAAAAACATGATTAAAACTAGTGATTCACTTCCTGTTTTTGCTGACTTCCATTAAAAAAACAACCCTTCATGAAATCAAGAAATACTCCAATAAGCTCAGAGCAGAGCCCTTGGATAACTGTCAAGTTTCCCCATTGGTTCCCAGGGCCCAGTGTGGGAACAATTGTTTGTTAGCCAAGCTACCCATATGTTGATGTTATACCTATAAAGTAATCAAACCGTAAAAAAGGGCCTCTCTGAAAAGATTAAGTGGATGCTTTCTTTCAGAGTGCCGGTTAAGCAGATGTTTTTTTTTTCCATTATCTGAAGTCCTTTGATCTGAAAGGGAATCGCTGGCATGCCTCAAATGCAAATATATGGAGTGGAATGGCAACATGCTCTTGGTACGATTTGACACTGAAAAACAACTGCAGGTCCTTCTGACAAGCTTCTTTTGTGCCCCCTCTCACTCAGCCTGGATCGCTGCCAGGCCCACTCTCAGCTCATTTGAAATGCCCTCTTGTTCTCCTCTCTCTCCCCTTTACTGTACTTATCTGTCTGATGTTTACATTGATGAAGTATGTTTGAACCACAGCATCACCTGGGATGAGCAGAACTACATTCAGCAGCAGTGACACCGTACCTTAGCACACACAGATTCACAATAACTTCCTCAGCTTTCATGTTTTTCCTCCTCATTCCCTGTAATCATTTCCCTGACTCCTTTCCCTCTCTTTCTTATTTCCTGTTTCTGTCTCTCCCTCTCTCTTTATAGTCTTGGCATAAGCAGCAGGATCAGATGACACAGGCGGACTCCTCACTGGCTGCAGCATTGTGTAACACCAGCCAGTGCTGTATTTTTCATCCTGGGCTGTCAGGGGATCATTCTGTCCTGTACTGGATCAGCATAAAAAGTCAAGAAAAAGAATGCCATGAGTTTTGATGAATTTGAAGATGAGAATGAAGATTTGGGTTCAATTTAAAGAGACTAAAAGGAGTGAAAATGCTATTGCAGCATGATGTGTATCCCTTGCTCACTCTAAGGCCCCCTCTGTGGAGTGTTCAGGCAAAGTGTTTTATGGTCAGCGGAGGTGTAGAGGGATAGGTGTGCAAGATGTAGAAAGGCTGTTGGGCTGAGAAGTAATGAGAGGGTAAATCAGACATTTGAAGTTGACAGGGGGGGGGAATTCACCGAATGCCATGAAGAAATTGCTACTGAGAGCATACGTAAGGGAGATTCCAAAATGCTACGTCAAACCACTGAAACTTCTGTTGTACTCAATTGTGTTGGTAAAGAAAAAAGAAAGGTGCAGCTTTAGAAATCAAGGTAAAGCTGCATGCTGGAAAACACTTATTCCACATACAAAAGTTCTAATAAACTGAGAGAACTATGAAACTGGTACCTCTCACTAGCAGAGAAAAGAATGAGCCTCCCACTTGCAGAAGCATGTGCATGAAATATTTAGTTTACTATGGCACAGAAGATTTCATTTTCTACTCTCAAGCCACACCCGGGAAGAGCTCAAACCTTTGCCAAGATGCACCATAGCCCTGATTCTCCCTCCTCTCTTTCCCTGTTCCTTTTGTTTACTGGCAGCAGCTGGAGGGATAAACACCTCAGATCAGATCTTGTCAAGTCTCACTCATCTATCTATGTTTTCTTAGGTTCACCGTGTCCACGGCAAAACTGCTCCTCAAGTCATGGACGACAGCATGAGAGCTCTAAGCCAGACTCAATCAACAAAAGAGTCCATTTTAGACTAAATGGAAAGAAATTGGCTTTTTGACTATTGATCTTCAACATTTTGTCAAATTCAGCTCAGGCAGACAAACTGGAGGTGCAGGAAAAACCTGACTGACTGCAGAAAGCCTCAGTCCTGCTATTATAAGATCAAACCTGTTGCTAGTGGAAACAGCACAAAGATACAGTAAATCACAATGACACTGCAGTCACCGTGGACATGTTAAATATCCTCCAGTCTCTCCAACGCCATTATGATAATGTTCCTTTAGGTTTCTGCTACTGTAAGGTCAAAAAAATGCAGCTTAAATCATGTGTGTTTCATGCATTATACCTGATGTCAATTCTGATATAAGGGTTCAATTCTGATATAAGGGGGGAAACATACGGCAGGTTATGGGCCTGTGGAAGCATCAGAAATGACCCTTCTCAGAGAGATTTTGCTGCAACTTTTGACCTGACAACAGAAGTCTCTTTTATTATTTTCTTTGTGGTTATAATTGGACCTTTAAATCTTGTTTTCACTGTATCATGGCCCTTGTTTTGTAACATCCTTAAGTCCCTGACCAAAAACTCATGCAGAAACTGTTCTTCGGGCAGGTTCAAATATTTGATCAGGTTTTCCTTTATTGTACACAAATGTCTATTGCTGTACATATGTGTTTCTAATTGAAATTATATTAAGTATGACACCAGAAACAAGCCAATGAAACATTGAAAGGACATTTGTAAGTTTCTGTGCCTGATACTGGTGACCCACATAAAACCAGATCATGTAAATGTTGTATGTCTTTACCCTTAAACTGACTCGGAATAGTCCCACAAAAAGACTTAACTTCATCCAATGAATTGGTGGGAAATGTAAATGTTAATCTGTGTGTGCAGGTTGAATTTAAAAAAAGGTATCATTTGACAGTGAGGGAATACAGGTCAGACTATATATACACACATGTATTAAGAGAAAATAAAGGTTTGGTCAGGTGTACTAACACAGCACTAAAATCAGCTTAGCTACTTTAGCCAGGCCGTGTGTCTCAGCAGCAGGACGCAGCGTGAATCCTGCATCCTGCACCAACATGAAGTCCAGTCTGCTTTTATGCTCAGCCAGAGGCCTGCTGCTGATTCAGGATCTCTCTCCAATGAGATTGTACGAACACACAACAACCTTTGACTACTTGAATCAGCTCTGAGCAGAATGGTATCAAAGAGAAGAAAACAATGAGGTCAGACAGCAACACCGCCACGCCTGGAAGAAGTTGCCCTCAAACTGAACCTTATCAAAGTCATGTTGTTCCTTAGAAAATGGAAAGAAACTGTTTAGTAAGCATTACTGACCCGAAGCTTTTTGATATTCATTTCTGTCTCGTTCTGTGTGTTTGTCGTCTAATACTTAAATGATTAAATTGGTTTTTAGCACAGTCAGTACAAACTGAAAAACAACAGTCTCTTTGTGCTTTTTCTAATCTTTCTCTGTGATGTAAGTCCCTGTGAAACTTTTTTTTTTTTTTTGCAGGCATGCTGTGTGTAATGTTGTGTGTTTTGCCATACTGCATGTGCCACTTAAATGCAGACAGAACCTTGGACAGAAAGGTACTGGAATAAAAAGGCTTAATTGTGTGTTTACTAGAGAGTCTGGACATCATTATTTCCTTCCTCCTACTTGTTTTTTTGGGGGCTTTTTTTTTTGAGGGGGAGGGGGGGTGACCATGATAAGGTCATGGCCAGAGAAGGATGTGGATGTGTGACGTCTACTTTTCTGAGTGCATGCACCCTCTACACTCATGATGTCGCTGTCTGTCAATGTCATACATTACTTAAGGCAATTCATGACCCATACTAATGCTACAATAAATAACAGAGCACATTCAGAGTATCAAAATAAAGTTGAAATCGTTCTACAAGTGATATCACAGAGTATTAAAATTTGATTAGAAAGACAAGGTAATCATAAAATAGATCAACCAAATTATTAGTTATGACGAAAAAGTATTGATTTTTTTCCTTTCAGATATGAATAATACTAAATGATTTTGAGAAAAAGGTTTGACTTTCTTTTAAATAAAGCTCCATACGTTAATTTACGGTTTGTGTCAATTTTGGCGCCACCTGTGTACAAAGCAGTTCCTTTTGTCTCTTTGCTGACTTTATCCTGTACAATCGACTTAAAAAAATAAATAAATAAATAAAAAATCCTACAGCTGATTAATAACAAGCAAACGTGTCATTTATTGCTGTTTTTTCAGTGCACTGCTAATCTCCTCATTTGACGCCTACCCTGCAGCAGCCACCTCAGGCATTAAAAACTACTTTATAAAAATAGTTTATCTTTATGTTGATGGTCTTTTTTACTACTGGAGGTCAAGTGGAGGCATCAGTATCAACCAGAAAAAAAAACTGGAGCTTTAACTTTAAAGCTTCTAAAATATAAGCCTGTGACTCATGATAAGGAGAAGATGTTTTTTGAGCAAGTCACAAAACATATCTGGATACACAAAAAAACTGAAATAACAGCTGTGTGAATACACACGTCAATGTGGCAGTACTGTGAGAGAAGCCTCTGTAGTTGCCAGTGTGACATTTGAAATCTGACTCCATTAGCACGATCAACTGGACATCAACACATCATGATATCGCTCATGAGGCGTTTACAGCCCTCGACTCTCTTAAAACCGTTCCAGAAAGCGATTTATCACGCTCATATTTCACTGTCAGACTTTCTATCACAGTCGATCAGCACTCACTGTACTGAGCAGGCTGAGGGCCACCGATGGGGGGAGGAGTCCTTTCACTGCTCCAAATGCCCTTGTCCCACACAGACACTCAAGACTGACTGTGATGGAGGAGGAGACCTGCTGTTGTATTTTCTCTCCAGCTCCATCCTTACGACTGACAATATAGCCACCTGGTCTCATTACTATCCTTTGACGCCGCATGTATCAGCAAGGCCGGGCATCAGGCAGTTGTCTCGACCCTTTAGAAATAAAATAGACTTAAATATGAGAGGTTTGAGAAGCATTTATAAATGTCACATTAACTATGTCATCTTCAGAAAAGCGTAGCGTTACATAGAGTGCATCAGGGATGTAAAGTTGCTGCAAAAAAAAATCTATCAGAGAAGAACTAATACAAAATTAAAGGAATAGTCTTGCTATTCTTTTAATAGGTCGGGTGTGATGGTAGGGGTAGGTGAAGGTGAAAATGAACCTGCCTCCACTATAACAACCTTTTTCTAAAACAATTCTGCTTTAAAATCTATTTCCTTATCATTATTCCCTTCAGATAACAGAGCTGCAGTGAGCACAATACATGTTTATCATATTGTGAAAATGATGAACTGAGCAGTTTGCACGGACAGGTAGCCTATTGCCAGTATTAGGCTCCAGCTTGTCTAGGGTGTCGTGATGCAGCTTCTACCTGCAAACCGTGATGAGGTTTTTTCGCTCCACGCCGACGCTCCTAGCAGAAGCCTTTTTCGATGTCAGACCCATAGCCATTGCTGTCTGAATACAGCCCGACTCCATCCAGCGGCGGCCCCGGGGCCTTTTCGGGATCCGTGCCCAGGCCAGGACCCCTCCCTCCGCGGCCCTGTGTCCTACAAACACCCGCTGTCCGACAGCCACGGATGCTGCTGCTGCTGCTGCTGCTGCTGGAGGAGACGGAGGATAGCAGGACAGAGGGGACCAGCGTCAAACAAGAACCGGTTTCAAGTGCAACTTCCGTTTATACCTTTCAAAATAAAACCACTATTAGACTACTTAGCGTCGATTTAGTTGTGTTGATTCCATAGACTGTAAATATTATTACTGATTCGTAAAAGTTGTTTTTGAATTAAGTGTTCTGTTTTGTTTTAATTAATTTTTTTTGTAAAAGAGGGGCAGCTATTATACGATTAATCTTCTTTCTGCTCCTTTTCATTCAAAGTTTGAAATCTTACGTTTGTTTGTTTTTCTTAACTTTATTTTTTTTTTTTTTAATGAAATAAAATTGACAAATAAAAAAACAAAAAAAAAAAAAATAAAAAACGTTACATTTATTTTCACATTATTTCCGGTTTTCAGTCAGTGGACTTCATGCCTTCACGCATTTTTGTTTGGTCGTACAAAACAGAATTTGAGATGTGAAATTAAAAACATCAGAAAACAGGCTACATATGTTTAAAGCTTGTTATTGCTTTGGAAATATATATGCTTATGTATATTTTATTTATAATACATGTTTAAACTGTAGCCTATTGTTTTAACTGCACAACTGCTGATGGTACTTAGGTAGGTTATTTATTAATTAATAAATTCGTTTATTTATTATTTATTAGTTTATTAGTTTACCTGTTAAGGAAATACCATATTCAATTACTAAAAAACAAAGATACATTTTCATCTGGATACTCTGTGGTAACTATAATACAGCAATAAACAGTAGCCTACACCTTAATGCAGGGGTTCTCAAACTTTTCAGCCTGTGACCCCCCCCCCAATTTAACTGTGCAAGAGACTGGGGACCCCAATTGTCCCATGAGGTGCTTCGAACATTTGACACTGCGCACACTATTAGGCCTCACTAAACACTGGCATTAGAACACCACACAACAGCCGAAACACACATCACATATTTTTCAAATTAATCAGTGAAATATGCAATTTTAAACCATTTTCCATTTTTAAATGTGTTTGGAAGGAGTATCGCCACCCCCCTCACAGCGTCTCGCGACAACCCCAGGGGGTCCCGACCCCCACTTTGGGAACCACTGCCTTAATTAATAACTTATGGGATGTAAAATGAAGGATTACATCAAAGTATTTTTTATTTAAATAATAATTGTATATGTAGCCTATATTTATATTACTATATATGTTATTTTAAGTTTAAAAAAATATATATTTTAATGTTAAACAGGATATGGGCAGTGGTAATTTTCTTCTTAACCAGCAGGGGGCAACAAAACAAGCTCGTACTTTAACTTCTCCGAGACACTAGAGGGCTCTGTGGTGAAACTGATACTGTTTAAACACTGAAAGAGCCAAGATGGCGGAATCTGAGGAGCCAAAGAAGGGCCCTTGCACTTTTTTGTTTAAAAAATCGACTAAGAAGTTCTCCGGACGAAAGAGAAAAGCAAGCGACAGCGACAAAGGTATTAATAGTTACTACTTCAGCTCCTGTTCATTGTTGTGTTTACATTTTAGAGTATAATTTGCTTGCGGGATGCTGCAGCTTTGTAAACGGCCCTGATGTGTCAACCTGTAATGAGTTTACAGTTCGTTTGTTATGACCGACCTGCTGAATGTTCCTGCCTTTTGTAATGACTTCGAGTTACCTGATGAGAAGCTTTGTTAGTGTGGGCAGGTAAACCCGTACTTAGTGCTGCGTTAAGAGTTCCGTCGGAAATTGAAGGTGTATGGGCACTGCTATTTTTCCATTTAAATTCACATATGAGTTGGGATATATTTATTTACATCGGCAGATATAACATGTGGTCAAGCTGTGGAAGTAGCCGTAAGAAGTTATTGCTATTCCCTTTTTTTTGTTTTTTTTGCTTTTTTTGTTTTTTTGTTCCAGATGACAACAGTGATGAGGACCAGAGCTCTGTGGTCAGGAAAGAAAGGAAAGGCCTCAAAGTCAACCCCATGATTCAAAGGGTACCCCGATTAAACATTCCCAATATCAATACACATTACAAAATCCTTCCACGTTTGTAATGAGATTAACCTAACCCTGGTTTTTGTCCCATTTAAGACAAAGAAGGTGGAAAAAGATGCTGTGTCTACCAGTGAAAGTGAAGAAGAGAAAGAAGACAAGAAAATCACTGTTGCTTACAAGTCCACACGATCAGCAGTGAGTTGACACTTGAAATGAAGAAATGCAATGCTTAAATGTATTTTCTTGGATCCGGGAGAGTGAATAAGAAACAGCTGTGCATTCCAGCTCTGATTGTTGAGCAATAGCTCTTAACTACTCCACTGCTCATATTAAAGACATATTTTGTTTATCCATTTGCAATAATGTTTTTTTGAGCTCTTATCATGTGTTTTTTTTTTTTTTTTCCATTTACTGTTTGTTTTCACAACGTCTGCAGAAATCCTTCTCACGCTCTTTTCTCTCACTTTTGCCCCCAAAAAGAAACCAGAGGGACCAGAGGACATGGGTGCAACTGCTACTTATGAACTGGACACAGAGAAAGACAAGGATGCCCAGGCCATTTTTGAGAAAAGTCAGAAAATCCAAGAGGTAAGAAGAGACCATGTTATTCTTAAAGCCTCACTTTTTTAAATGCTTCACATGGAACTTGACTAAAATAAAGTTGACTATAGTCTAAAATTTGTCTTCAAAAATCGATTAAAAGTTTCCCTCTCACCTTTGTCTCCCCCCAATAGGAGCTAACAGGTAAAGAAGACGATAAAATCTACCGTGGCATTAATAACTACCAAAAATTCATCAAACCAAAAGATACCACCATGGGAAATGCCTCCTCTGGCATGGTTAGGTGAGTACTAGGCATATTACGACATGTTCATGACACGCTTTTTCAGGAAATCTTCATCTTTGAATGCTGAGATGTGATCGTTTTTGTTGAAACAGAAAAGGACCAATCAGAGCCCCTGAACACCTGAGAGCCACAGTGAGGTGGGACTACCAGCCAGACATCTGCAAAGACTATAAGGAAACCGGGTTCTGTGGTTTTGGAGGTGGGTGTCTGTTGTCATCTGTTGGGTGACTATAAAAAAATAAATACAAATAATTAACCATTCTCCTTCTTGTCCTCTTCTGCCATTTAGACAGCTGCAAGTTTCTCCATGACAGATCGGACTACAAACATGGCTGGCAGATTGAGAGGGAACTGGAAGAGGGCAGATATGGGGCAAATGGTGAGCACGGGTGCAAGATTAGAATGTCAGTTTTCTTTCGGGTCTGCATCTGCACTCTGTAACAATACTGTTTGTCACTTAGATGATGAGAACTACGAGGTGAGCAGCGATGACGAGGATTTGCCCTTCAAATGCTTCATCTGCAGGGAGTCCTTCAAGAATCCTATTATTACAAAGTAAGAGCCTTTAAGGTCAAGGTCAAGTTATTTCTATTTATTTATGGTACTTATTAGGATTAAGGGTTTTTTTTTTACAAGTGTATTCAAATATTGTATATTGTTACTGACAATATCCGATTTATGCTTTTAAGCAACTTTTATTTGTTACATTCCAATAATAAATGTTTTTCAATGTGCAGGGCATTGTTTTTTTTTTATTATTAATTGAGTCGTATATCTCTCAGGTGTCGGCACTACTTCTGTGAGGTCTGCGCTCTCCAGCATTACCGCAAGTCCAAGCGTTGCTATGTGTGCAACACTCAAACCAACGGTGTCTTCAATCCAGCTAAAGGTAAGCAGGTTCTGTCAACGATATTTGGGAAGGGAGACGTTTTTAAGTTTTTGTTGGTATTTCATTGAAGTAGACTTTTTCCTAGCCCTGCATGCTTTTTTTTGAGCATTTGTAGTCAGTCAGTTTTGGCGTTCGTGTTTGGAATTACTTTGTTATACAAATGTCATACGGTAAGAGAGACAAAGGGAGAAGATCAACCTAATTTATGTTGTCTGTTATGTTGCCCTGTATTCCAGAACTGATGGCCAAGATGGAGAAACGTCAGGCCGCAGCAGACCAGCCACCGTCAGAGGAGGAAGATTAACATCATCTTAACCTCTTTAACCCCTATCCTTATGTGTTTTTCCATGTACGTATATTCAGAATAAAATATTTTTTTCTAGGTGTTAAGTGTGTCACCGTGTCGTTTCATAAAGTTAGGACATTAAAGTGAACATGGTTTATTGTTAGAAGTCAGGTTTGACATTTGCAACACTTCGCTTTGCCCTCACTTTCAAACGTTAAGCAGACATAACAAGCACCAATGTAACATTCACGTTAGTAACATCACACCCAGAGCAAGTTCAAGGAAACACACTTCTATGCTTGAAGGATATCTAAATCGATGTTATTTTGAATCTCTGTGTAACAAAAGTGATGCAGAGAGCTAAGAAATGTATATACATGCTGTTTAACTAACTGATGGGGGAAAAAAAAGTCGGAATCCATCTGGTGCAGAGAGGGCCAACTGAGTAAGCTGTGCGGACCGGTGTGCCCCCTTATGGTGGTCTCGCTGAGCAGATGTTCCACATCAAGCAGCCCATGTTCAAACAGGAGGTAGTGTCCCCTCTGAATATTAAATAGCAGCTTCCCACTGATGCGTTCCAAGGGGATCTTCAGGGTTCAGGCGACGCCTAGACCCACAGACCATACTCTGAAACCTTAGACACAGCATGAGGCATAGAGGAGTCCTGTAGCGTTTTGGCTCCAGGGGGCTTGTCATGTCTGAGTACAATCTGTAAACATCTGTGTGTGTGTGTGTGTGTGTGTGTGTGGAAGAGAGTGAGGTCATCAGTGCAATGCAACAGTCTGTACGTATCTTAAGGACCAAAGCGTGCGAGAGACATCAAAACGAGGCAAAACGGCTGCTGGCTTTAAACCTCCGAGAACAGCAAACTCTTTTCAGTTTTATATCTAAATTATTTACAAGTGGACCATTACAAAAACATCTTCTCCTGTATGCTCTTGGAGATTCCCTATTAGAATCCCCATTAGTGACTCCCCATCAAGTCCTCCATTGTCAGAAGTCCCAGTCGTCCACTTCCAGGTGGCTGAGGCCCGACTCCAGGCTGGCCAGTCCAGAGGGAGAGGCCTGCATCTGGGAGGTCTCGTAGCTCGTGATGGGCGTCACAGGCCTCAACAGCTCCGGCAAAGCTTCTGAGGGCCGGCGTTTTATCTGAGAGGGAGACAGTTGGAGGAAAAAAGTTTGAATAGTAATCTTTTCTTGTATTCTTCCCATCATACCTAACAAAATAAACATTTTATTAACCCTAAATTCAAGCCTTACACACCTGTTTGAAGAAGGGGTGGCCTACGAGAGTGCTGGCAGACGGTCTGAATTAAAATAAATAGAAAACAGTTAATGCCCTGTGGCTTTAACATTTTACAACACTTCCTTTACTAAATTCAAGCAGGAAGATAAAGGCCAACCTCTTTTCAGGGTCTCGCTGTAGACACAGCTCAACAAAAGCGTGGAAGTGTGGGGAGAAGGTGCGATTGTAGGGGTGCCCTGACGAGGAGGTGGAGGCCTCCCCGTTGGACTGACGAACTCCTCCAGCACCAGGGCCCTCACAGATCCCAGAATCTGCCCCAGAGCGAGACGGCTTTAGTGACAGCTCCTCTGGGGGGATCGTGGTGGTATCTAGCAAACACGGCACCGTCCCGTTTAGCTTCTCCAGCAGCATCTGTGGAGGAGAAATAGAATAGAAGTATTGATATGATACTGTAGACAAGGGTTTCCTACCCTTTGACTTCAGGAGAAAAGCTCCTTCACCTCTACTGGTCATTTTTCATGATTTGGCCTTTAATACAATTACAGATTTGAAAGCGAAAGAAGCTTCATTTTCAGAAAAAAACATTATTTATACAAAAGTTATTGACGAAAAGTTGATAATTTGTCACTTCATAACTCGATATGAAGAGATAATTAGACGTGAAGGTGTGACCTGTGTAGCTGGCATGTCTTTGAAGGGAACGTGTCCATTGGCCAGTTCACAGGCAGTGATGCCCAGACTGTAGATGTCTGACCGAGAATCATAACCATGCAGTTCTGAAAAAGACAAAAACAACAACAACTATCAATAATATGAAATTCACTATCAATGTATCATGTCTTTTAAAACTTGTTTTATGTTTTCTACTAAATCTAAGAAGTGTTACCATCCAACTTTGGCTTCAAAAAGGACATTTCCAAAATCAGGGGCAAAGAAGGTTTTACACAAGGCTTTGGAGGAATCTTTTATTGTACCTGCTGCAGCACCTCAGGACTGAGCCATGGCAGCACCTTGACGCTGTACTGGGGGAAGTCGTGGACAACTCTGGCCCTCTGGCCATGACGGATCAGGCTGAAGATGCTCCGTAGACCTGACATGCAGACCTGTCCGTCTGCTGAGATCAGCACATGGCTGGCCTTCACACTCCTACCCATGATCAAAAGCAGTTACAAACACTGAATATCACATTCAATTGTAATTACAAGAACTGTAAGACTGGTTCAAAAATACTGTTAATGTATTAAACCCAAGAAACCGGTCACATAAATCAGTGTGACATTTGTCTTTAAAACACAAACCAAATGTAGAAATCTTACCGGTGCACATATCCCATGTGGTGAATGTATTCCAGAGCTTTGAGCATACCAAGTAAAATGTATGCAATGGTCAACTCCGCCATACCATCAGTGAAGTGTGTGCAGATCAGATCTCTGGCTGACCCTGTAAGACCAGCAAAAACAGATGAGATGACGAGGAACTGTCATTTATTAGAACAAGCCATGTTGACATGTGAAGTATAAAATTGGTGAATGTATTTGTATGTCTTACCATAAGCCATGAAGGGGGTGATGACCCACAGCTCATTCTCAGCTATGAAAACACTCTTGTAAGGAAGAATACTGGAGTGATGAAACAGCTTTGACACTTGTAGTTCACTCTGGCAGGGAGATAATCAAAAAAAATCCAAAAAAAATCACACTATTGTGTTGAGAGGACAAAAAAAGATGATTAAGAATCTAATAAGGACCGGAGGGGGAGCAGTCAAGACTGGGAAACTAATCAGAGCACAGATAGAAGGGTTCATAAGTATTTGCTGTGAAGAAGTGAGATGTAAGAAGGGGGGGCATAGTCCACAAGGGGAGCTGGGTGATGTGTTCATGTGCTGAGGCTGACCTGCAGGTAAGTAACCATGTCGTTAGTGCATGACTCCATGTCAATCCGTCGGATGGCCACATGCTCCCCAGTGGGTCTGTACCGGGCCAGGTTCACTGCCAGCAAGTCATCCAGACCCCGTCCTAAAACACAGACACAGACTTCACTCGGACACTTTTTTTTTCCATGTCTTTGGTAAACACATGTCCTCATCCAGTCCGTGTTATACGATACCAAACAAGTGCATAGCTTAGCATTGTTCTGTTCAGCTCATGTAAAAAAAAAAAAGTTACAGGACAAACAAATTCAAACATGTATACATTCAATAATCCAATATGTGTTTCAGACTTTGTGTTGCATCCTTTGGATTCTACTTTAGCAAAGACAGCTTGTTACTGCCAACAAAGAGAAATCGTGTCCTCAAAGAGTTCAGGTGTGTCTTTTCCTTTTACATACCGATAATAGTAAGGACCTCGTAGGAGCCGCTGTCAGGGAGGAAGCTGCCCATGGTGTCCCGATGAGGGAGGGAGGTCAGACTCTCCTGACTATCCTCATGGGCCTGGAGGTAGGGAGGGGAGGAAGCAGAACAGAATGAAGCTGTTCTGTGACACTGACTTCACTTGTTAGAGCGTAGGACTTTACCAGAGGGCTGGGTAAGTGTTAAAAGATCGCCTAAGGACAGGATGAACTTTGTTATCAAGGTGTGTTAGCAGGATTCTTGGCACTAGATTTTATTGGCCAAGATAATAACGAGTTTATGAACTTCAGATTTTAACATCTTTATAAACTGCATATCTAATATATATAGAATTTAATCTAACATACAGAAAAAAAATTGGTTTAGTTGAGTTCCAGTTCATTTAAACGTGTGAGTAACAAAAACATGTAGAGAAATGCTAATGAGGACTCCTGAATCCCATTAATATATCACCATTTAAAATATGGAAAGGGACAGATTGCAGTAGCAAGCTGCGAGGGCAAATGAGGGCAAGCTGTATGAGCATTTTGATTGTTTCTGTGGTGAAAAGAATGAAGACGCAAATTCCCAATTCGAACAGTGCACTTCACCGAGCATAATTTCACCCGACGGGCCAGAGGTGATTTTGAGATGGAGATCCAGGACACACAGAAGTTGAAAAATATCCTGAAGAGTTGATTGGGATGTGGACCTTTACTCTACATGTAAAGTTAATTAAAACCTGTACATTAAACGTCCCTTAATGGAAGAGTCAAACATGCTAGAGCGCCCATATATGTTAAGGTAACGTCGGTCATTCTTAATCTTATCAGAGGGCACAAACTACCATCGTGATCAGATTCAGACGGGGTTGCCATGCTTTGCTAAAGCTGAGCATTTAGAACGCCTTCAATCTACATCCTGCAGGGACACAAAGTGGCTGACATCAGTGTGGGACTGCAAGTGTGACAACACAAATTCACCATCAACTCAACAACAGGCTGTCAGCACAGACAAGCAGTGTCAAACACTCACAACACATGATTAGACTCTTAAGTGAGAAAGACACCAAAACCTGGAGCACAGCATGTTCACAGCACACCCGCGGAACTATTCAAATAGGCTTTAAAAAAAAAACCTTGGCGGTTAACTCGACCGTGCCGTTCCTCTTCCTCAAAAGCAGAAGCCCAGGTGTGTGAAGTGAGATGTCCCCTTTGAGCTACGAGCATGTACTGCGTGTTCCGTGAACTACAAACTCATGCAAACATGTATGTGCGTAAGCCTTGGGGGATGGGGGGGTTGTGGTTGTTACTCTACATATAAATCTCTGTGCGCACACACTCATGCATGCACGCAGATGTACAAAAGCCACATGGGGGAGTGATAATGCAGTGACAGGAGTACCACACTTACTTTCCTGTGAGAGAGTCCCTGAGCTTGCTCTAGGGTAGAAAAACCACATCAATGACATAAAAGACATGTACACACACAAACAGGAGAAGGATCTGTGTTTAGAGCAGCTCTTCAACTGGGGGGGGGGGGGGGGGGGCATCTGGTAGAGGGGTTTCTGCAGCAGGCTTTGTCATGATAATTAATGGGAATATTATTCACTTGATTTTCTAGAATATTTCCTCAGATACTATAAATGGCAATGACAACAAAGAACAGCCAAAACATAAAAGACCAACGTGAACCATCGTGCAGTATTGAGCAACGATCTGCCTGCAGGAAAATGAAAATGAGGCAAAGCTTGCAAAGAAAGGAAACATGAAGGGATGATTAACCCTGTCATCTCCCCATAAAGGACCGAAGCTTCAATAAAGTGCCAAATTTAAACTGAATTATTTATGTGGCAAAACAAAAGGGGCCTGAGAAGATGAACAAACCTCTGATAAGACAGCCACGATCATGATGTTTTTCATCTTCAGGGGACATGTCGGTAACCATCTATAGTCCTAAAAATGTCCATTTCAGTCTACCTCTGCATACTCTATGGTACTCGTATGTAGGATTGTAATCAGACTTCTATAAATATAAAAAAGATTAATCTGCTAACTGGTCCTAGTAGGGAGAAAACACTGTCACTCAATAATTTACAGCCAGGGTTAAAATATTTTAGCCTCTGATAGAAAATAATGTTCAGACAGACATTAAAATGTTCCTCAATTACAAAAATAACAGATGTTAAATGTGTTAAACCATTCCTCAAGACCCGTATATACTGGCCTTAATCAAGGCAAGGATAATTACTTTTTTCCTTATAAACATACATGATACGATTTAATTTCTTGAAAAAAGCTAAGTTGCAAGAAGTAAACAAAAACCTTGATCACTTGATACTAAAAATGTGCAGCTGCAGTCTTTAAAAATGTGGCTCTAACGCTGCTAGTGCCTGGCCAATCAGAGACGTTCAGCGCTGCATGCCCTGGCCCAAAAGTCCCTGGACTTACTACCCCCCCCCCAATCAGCCTCTTTTTTTGGGGGGTAGATCATTTACCCCACAACTCAATTTAGACCCAGGCAGCTTCGGTTAAAACGCACGTAGTTCTTCAAAAAGACCCCACTTCTGGAGGGAAGTTCCTCCAGTCCAAAAAGGGCTTATGGTGGTCTTTATAGCCATCAAACAATGATAACATTGACAGAATTTGCAAACAGGTAGATTCACGATATCTGTGGAGTTAATTGTGAGGGTTTCATACAGTCTAAATGAGTAGATTTGTTTTGAAACTAGGCCTGGGAAAAAAAAAAAACATAGTAAGGCAACACTAAAACCTAAACCATCAACTAAACACTTTTACATGTTTATTTATGAGCTCAGATTTTGTTAAGTGACAAACTAATAAATACACATTGTAGAAGCAGAACAGAAAACAAAGTCCTCGCCTCTAATTACCTAAGTGCCACTGTCAATAAGCAAATGTGGCTAATAGTTAATCAATCGTAATCACAAGAGGGATAAGGTTAAATTCAAGTACAAAAGCAAATTATATTCAATAGCCAAAATAAATTGTGCAACCATTATACACGCAAGGAAAACACATTCACAAGCAGCATTAAACAAAAATGGCACAGACTTTTTAATGGGACCAGCCAACATGAGACATTAATTAAAAAGGGGGATTTCACTGGTGCCAAAGTCAGATAAGTTATTGTAGCCGACAGGGAGATGTGGCAGTACTGTCAAAGACACTGGCTGATTGGATAGAAAACTTTTATCATTTCAATTCAAAGATGACATCAGAGAAGCAGAGCAAAGCAACTACCCTACTTACAGTAGATGATGCCTTAAACCTCACCTCCAAATAACTCCAAATCCCGCAGGCTCTCCACACTCAATTTCTCAGATACCCAGCGCTGACAGACACAGAGGGTTAGTGACAGACAGGGAGAGGAGAGAGAAAATGCAAGCAAGAGTAAGGACATTTTCCATAGAAATAAACACATGTATAAGGCAGTTGAGGAAGCTGATATTTTTAATCAAATGCAACAATATCATGTAGATTTTCTAAAAAGGGCTGTTTGAGTTCTTTTCCAGAACTGTATACCGCAGATTATTGGGTAATGATAAGAAACACGTCTAAATGCTTGCAATGACAGGTGTCTATGATGTGATTCTACAGTTTTCCATTGAGGGATTAAGGCTTCTTCTGGACCCAAAGATCAATTGTAATCAGAAAATGAGGAGGTACTTGACAAACACTTACAAGAAAAGACATGGATCCTTTTGAGAGTTGTTACATATGAAACGCTGAAATCTCATCCAAGGAATGTCGGTCGTGAAAGTGAGAAAACGCTGAGGGAGAAGTTGTCTCTGATATGCTGTTACCTGCAAGGGGACAAAAGTCACTTGTAATTGCTCAATGGTGATAATTGTTACTTTATTATGAGACTGTTATTGCATGTCTATAGAACCGACCGCAAAAAAAATCACAAATACTAAAACCATACAAGGTACGGTGCAGACTAGGGCTGGGCGATATATCGAGTTTTTAAGATATATCTATATATTTTCAATCGAGATAAAGGGTAAGACAATATCGTTAATATCGATACAGTTCATGTTGCATTAAAATAACGTTTTATACATCTACGGTAGAGCTGCCAGTTCACGTATTTCTCATGTCTCTCTCTCTCTCTCTCTCTCTCTGCCAAACTCAACAAACTAAATGGTTGACAAAACACACAACTGTGTTTACTGCGTTATGCAGAAAATGAACTGACTTCACAAACAGGTAGTTTATTTTCATGAACATGTTGAACTTGTTGCAACTGACTGTTGATAAAAGACGTATCGATACATATCGAGTATTCATGCGAAAAAAAATATCGAGATATTACTTTTGGTCCATATCGCCCAGCCCTGTAATGCAGAGACATTACAAATAAATAGCTGAGTCGGGTTTCAATATTATTACTTACTTTCAGATTGAACAGTAGTACACTAAGTCCTACTTTAGTTTTACAGAATGAGAAGTCAGTTCAATCTATCCTGCTCGACTCTTTAATGCTCACATTGATGGTAGAGGCTTGTGTTCTTTAAAACAGAGAGAGAGGGTCTGATATATTACCAGGCAGACACATGCTTATTTTAGTGGAAGCAGTCCATCCTTGAGCAGATACTGAGTAATGGTAACTCTAGTTGAAGCTAAACGAGGTGAGAAAACGGACAATAATCTGATTGCATACTGCACAACATCATGCGTTTGAGAGAAAAGAAAGATAATAACAGAATCTGCATGTTTACTCACGCAGATTTTGTCCCCTCAGTCTTAAAAATAGTGTCGTTTGCACAACTGAATAACAGTGATAATATTGCATACACAGGTATTTTTGATTTATAACAACAGGAGATGGTTTTATCTATTTAATCAAAGAAGAATAAACTCTAGTTAGTTATAGCATATCCGTAACAAGCTCAGTTGGAGCTAATGGTTCGCTTCTGTTGTAAGACGCAGGCTAGCTGGTTAAATTACAGATCGCTAAAAGAAGCTACCGTCACTTATTTTAGCTGCAATAACTGCATTGTTTTAAGTTTAAAAATACTCACTCGTGTAATGTTTGGAACAGAAATGTTTCTCGTGTGTCAGGGGAACTTATTTTTTTAGCTAGCCATCCCCTCCTGCGGTTGTTTTATTTTTTTCGGGGGGGGGGCATATTTCCACTGCGCTGTGCCGAACGTCGTGTCGCGCACATAACGACGACACGGTTCTCCTCGGAGAAAGTTTTGCGCGCACCTATGACGTCAGCGTATCTCGATCTGAAAAAAAAAAAAAAAAAAAAAAAAACATCGGAGGTTTTTTTTTTTGTTGCTTGCATCGGAAAACAGGTGAGTTACCAGCGACGAACTTTTTCTGTTTGGATTGTATCGAGTCATTTTCGTCAACGAACGACGTTACTGTAAAGCTGTAAAAACGGGGGGCAGCATAGATCAGTCTAAATAATCCGCAAGGCGATTTTATAGATAGGCCGCGGTGTTACAGCACCCTTCACTGCGGCTTCGTTTGCGGCCTTGAGCTAACGCTAACAGTGTGCGTCAGGATAACAGAAGATGTGCTGTTAATGACTATGCTTTTTGACACATCATTCAAGTAATTTTTGTATTACTTTAATGCAAAAGTAACCATTCTTGTGCGTGAAGCTGACTCAAACTTGTGCACTGCTTTGTACCGTCGTGTTTGTTGTGTGTCTCACAGGCTGTTTATTTATGTCAGATCATCCTGTTGACTTTAACTGTCTTCAGAAACTCGATTTTAAAATGATGTGGGATGAATGTGTTATTGATCTGTCAATAACAGGCGTGCCTAAGTGCATTTCTAATTAACTGCTGGTGTTTATTGGTACACATGGCTACAGATATAAACATGAACTACACGGCTTCGTTTAGATACTTTAAATCAGGGGTTCTCAAACTTTACAGGTCGTGACCCCCAAACAGAGGGTGACAGAAACTGGGGACCCCCCCACTGTTCTTTAAGGTGGTTAGTTAGGTATATAACATAGTGACAGCCACGCACACACTAATAAACCTATGCAAAAACTAGGAACACAAAATTATACAACATCCTAAAAGAATTAAAATGTTCATTTCCATTTCACTTAATGATACTGTCTTATATGACATTGGACTACTACTACATAGGGCATCTCGCGGCCCCCCCCCTCTTGGTGGCTGGCGACCCACCTTGGGGTCCTGGGCCCCCCCCACTTTGGGAACCACTGCTTTTTTAAATGGCCTCTGCTGCTCTGGGTAGTGTAACTGTTGTGGACAAACTAAACAAAAAGCAAAACTTTGCGACGTCTAAAAAGCAGCAAATAACCAAACTGTGACTTCACAAGCAAACTGAGTTGGAGTCTGTGCTCCTGCTTGAATATTTTTACCTCATGGCTGATCGTTGGGTCTCTCAGTTAGACCGTGTTCGTCAACTATACTTCACCCTAAGTAATACTAATTGACTGAATGGCACCTAAAAATGGCTTTTCAACAAGTTCTTACTAAGTCATGTTCTAGTGGGAGTACTTAAATATTTAATACCAAGACAGGAAAAGATGTTTAAAAAGAAAATTGAGACTAATAAAGGCTTTCACTCCTGTTTTTACAGCACAGCCATGAACTGGAACAAAGGTGGCCCCGGTGTGAAGCGTGGTTTTGGATTTGGAGGATTTTCCCTCGCAGGGAAAAAAGAGGAACCTCAGTCTGCTCCGAAATCTCAAACTTCATTCGGAGCAACAGGATCAGGTGGAGCCTATGGGAAGAACCAGCAGCTCCCATCGTTCTACAAAATAGGGACAAAAAGAGCTAATTTTGATGAGGAAAATGCGTAAGTATACAGTTCTCCTACACACATAGATACAATCTAATAACCATTTACCCATGTATCTGTATAGATTGTGATTTAAATCTTTTTTTTTTTCTTTCAACAAGATACTTTGAAGATGATGAAGAGGAGTCCAGCAGCAACGTGGACCTGCCGTATATCCCAGCTGAGAACTCACCCACACGGCAGCAGATGCAGTCCGGTGGTGGCTCAGATAGTGAGGACGATCCTCTTGATGCCTTCATGGCGGAGGTTGAGGTAAGATGTAAATTATAAAAAAAAAATAAAAAAAAAGACAGACCAGTATGTATGCTTCCAAGGTTTAATCTGCTTTGTTTGTCTAACACGTTTTCTCCTGCAGAGCCAGGCAGCTAAAGACATGAGGAAACTAGAGGAAAAGGAAAAGGAGAAAAAGTCAGCCAAGTAAGACTTCATTATACTCACATTATTAAACATGCTTGATTTTGACACACTTCTGAGGTCCTTATTGAGGCACTTAAATTTAAATTTGATCGTAAGGAAAAAAATCAAATCTCCCACATCTGAGGGAAAGTAAAAGCCCACTTATTTGGGACAATCACATTTTAAATTTGTATTTTACACATGTACAATTCTATAACTTTTAGAAACTGAGCAGTTAAGATTAAAGCAGAAGTTATTTGTAATTTTTTAAAAATTTACCGGCAAAAACATTGCACATCAAACAATGTCTTTGCTGGCTTAATATATATATATATCATCAGGTAAGCAGGGTGTTCTAGTCTATGGGATGTGGGCTGTCTTGGGTGTATGAACGAGCCGCAGGGAAGTTTTTTTTTTCTCCGCTTGTCATTTCAGGGGTATTCGTGATGACATTGAAGAGGAAGATGAACAAGTGAGTGAGCCCTCCAAAGTTCTTCATCCACTACATGGTTGATCAGAGAGGTCTTCGGAAACAAACATTCAATACATTTCTCTCTCTCTCTCTCTAATCTCATAAAGGCCCTTCCTTCTGTTCTATCTGACCATGCAGGTTGCATTTAGCATCTTTACGATGGTATTGTTTGTCTTGTGCAGATTAGAAAAGCATGTTTAAATCGTTGAGCTATGTCAGCAAGTGAAGGAATTGTTGATTGCAAAAAAAATAGTTCATCCTTTTGTTTTAAGATGAATGTCTCCATGGATATTTTTCAGTTACTGGTGCCTGGATGCTGTACTGAGAAGCAAACCAGCTTAGTTTTTAACATATAAGGCTATGCTCTCTGCAGGAAGCCTACTTCCGCTACATGGCAGAGAATCCCACAGCTGGGCTGACTCAAGAGGAAGAGGACGAAAACATTGACTATGACAGTGACGGGAACCCAATCGCTCCTGCCACCAAGAAAATCATCTTGCCACTTCCTCCCATTGACCACTCTGAGGTACAGTTGACAATGCTAACAGACGGTTAACGGGTGTTACCTGAATGGTGGATCAAACTGTTTTTTTTTTTTTTTTTTATCCGTAGATTGATTACCCACCCTTTGAGAAAAACTTCTACAATGAGCATGAAGAGCTCAGCAACTTGACAGCAACACAAGTGTTGGAGTTAAGGCAGAAGCTAAACTTGAGGGTAAGTTTGGATTTTTTGAACAACAGTAAATATCTGTTAAATGATACATATGTCAAAGCTGATTTACTTTTGATTGTTATTATTTTGTAATTGTTCTAATTATTTAATTTCTTCTTATCTTTTGGTCTGTCTCAGGTATCCGGTGCGGCCCCTCCAAAACCTTCTACTAGTTTTGCCCACTTCAGCTTTGACGAGCAGCTAATGCACCAAATCCGCAAGTCTGAGTACACTCAGCCCACTCCCATTCAGTGTCAGGTATTGCGCAAGTTTGTCTAAAAGGTTGCAACAGGATTGAATGTCATATTTTTTTAAATACGTAAAAGGAGCATATTTTATATTTTTGTTTTTGATTTGGATTTTAGGGTGTGCCCATTGCTCTGTCTGGAAGGGACATGATTGGTATCGCAAAAACTGGCAGTGGCAAAACGGCAGCTTTTATCTGGCCCATGCTGGTTCACATCATGGACCAAAAGGAACTGGAGGCAGGAGACGGGCCCATTGCCATCATTGTGTGTCCCACTAGAGAGCTTTGTCAGCAGGTAAGCAGCGGGAAGGGACTGAGTCAGACTTCTGAATGTTCAGAGAAGCAGGATTGAGTTTAAATGTATTGTTTCACATGTCGACCTATTCATGCATTTTGTCATTTGTAATGTTTTCCAGATCCATGCAGAATGTAAGCGTTTCGGTAAAGCCTACTCACTGCGTTCTGTGGCTGTGTATGGAGGAGGCAGCATGTGGGAGCAGGCCAAAGCTCTTCAGGAGGGAGCAGAGATTGTGGTGTGCACTCCGGTAAGAGAAAAGACAAATAACTTGATTTTTGTACCAGCCTTCTTACAGACAATTAACCCGTACTCCTTTGCTGCAATAAATGCTAAATGTACTCTTTGTATGTGTTTGCACAGGGTCGTCTGATTGACCACGTGAAAAAAAAGGCCACGTCCCTGCAGAGAGTATCATACCTTGTGTTTGATGAGGCGGATCGCATGTTCGATATGGGTTTTGGTGGGTTGGAATTCGCCGCGTTGCTACAAAAATGAAAAAAAACCTGTTTTGGGCTTCTTGAGCTTATTATGTTTTCCCTTTCAGAATATCAGGTTCGATCCATTGCCAGCCATGTGCGCCCAGACAGACAGAGTAAGTAGAATGATTAAGATAACGCTTCAGTATCATAAGCAGCATAGTGGATTTATCTATTTTATAACCTGTATTATCATTTCTTTCTCAGCTCTTCTGTTCAGCGCTACTTTCCGAAAGAAGATCGAGAGGCTGGCCAGAGACATCTTGATAGATCCAATTCGTGTGGTGCAGGGAGACATTGGAGAGGTAAGCGGCATCCCACAGTCTTTGTGAAAAAACACAACTTAATTCAGAGCTGTTGCTCCAACAGAAATACGACAATATTTCCTGTGCAGATCCCATGTTTCATTACTCTTCCTGTCACCAGGCCAATGAGGATGTGACCCAGGTGGTGGAGCTGCTGCCTTTGGGGTCGGACAAATGGGGCTGGCTGACCAAGCGGCTGGTCGAGTTCACCTCCTCCGGCTCAGTCCTGATCTTCGTCACCAAAAAGGCAAACTGCGAGGAACTGGCTACTAACCTGACCCAGGAGGGCTACAGTCTGGGCCTCCTGCATGGAGACATGGACCAGAGTGAGAGGAACAAGGTCATCAGTGACTTCAAGAAGAAGAATTTGCCTGTTCTGGTGGCCACTGATGTAGCTGGTGAGTACAAAAAGATGAGGAGGTGATAAAGGAGATGGGACAAGGTTTATATATATATATGTACACATGTATGAGTTGCTTATTTGTCTCCCATTTCAAATGCAAATTGTAGTATTCCGCTAGACAAAAGTAACAACATTATGATATTGACTTATAATTGTAAAATCGGCTCTGAACATTCCTGTTTTCTTTTCCGCCCCAGCTCGTGGTCTGGACATCCCATCCATTCGCACAGTGGTGAACTACGACGTGGCACGAGACATCGACACACACACACACAGGATTGGTCGAACTGGTCGCGCCGGAGAGAAGGGTCTTGCTTACACTCTCCTCACCAACAAAGACACATCATTCGCCGGTGACCTTGTGAGAAATCTGGAGGGAGCGAATCAAGGTGTTTCCAAAGAGCTGATGGACTTGGCTATGCAGGTTAGAGAGGAAGTGAAAACAAATAATAATAATAATAATACAGAAAGAGCTTGAAGCGTTGTGTAGATTTTCATAGGAGTGAGTGGTCTAACTTTTTTTTCTCTTTACCCAGAATCCCTGGTTCAGGAAATCCCGATTCAAGAGTGGAAAAGGAAAGAAGTTGAATATTGGTGGAGGTGGTCTTGGTTATAGAGAAAGACCAGGCTTGGGGGCTGAAAGTTCTGTGAGTCCCTACACTGTTGTACAAATTACTATGTACTTACAAATAAATAAAATGTCAACAAACTTCTTTTGACCCTCTCTTGAAGAATAAGGAGATTCATGGTGAGCCAAACGTTAGAAACCCTGTGTTGTCTTTGCAGGAACGCGGCGGTGGCAGCAGTGTGTTGTCTTCCACCGGCAATTACGAAGGCTTCACCAAAGCGACCAGCGGGGCAATGGGAGATCGTATGTCTGCGATGAAACAGGCCTTTCAGGTAGACACTGTAACATCTTAAACACATATCATAACTTTATGCTTTCACATTATTTCAAAGCTATTTATATATAGTTCTATTTCTTTCAAGGAACTTATTTCAAATACTTTTAAGAGCTTCAATTATAATACTATACCTCTATTGCTGTTATTTTAATAACTTTGCATATGTGTGTAATTCTTGTTTATAAATGTAATCATTATATTAAAATAAAAAATAATATACAGTGATATGAAAAATTCTATCGTTCTCCTACTGACTTGTCTCTGGGCCCGTTTGACGTGTTCAGTCTTCTTTCTCCAGGCAGCTAATCTCTATACTCATCTCCTCTTATCTAGGCCCAGTATAAGAGCCACTTTGTGGCTGCATCCAGTGGCCCTCCAAAGCTCAGCACCAAGTCCAGCAGCTCGTCAGGCTGGACCAGTGCTGGCAGCCTGAGCTCTGTGCCCACAGAGGCTGCCAATGGTTCAGAAAGGTCCCAGGGCGTCACATGTCCATGTCTGGCTTCACCAGCGCCGGCACCCTGAGCTCTGTGCCCACCACTCAAACCAGTTCACAGCAAAGTTTCACCCCACCAGCTCCTCCCTCACAGAGAGACGGCTCACGGGACAGGCACAGCGAGGACCGGGGCCGTGACAGCTACCACCGCCACAGCGAGAGGAGCGATAGACACAGTGGAGAGGACCGCTACAGTGACCGCGATCGTCATGGAGACAGAGATCGGGACAGCTATAGTGACCGGGACCGCCACAGTAGCAGCAGCAGCAGCAGCAGCAGCAGCCGCCACAGCGATAGTCGAAATGGAGATGGAAGCAAGAGGGACAGAGAAGATCGGAGGAGTGAGAGGGACGGGGGAGACAGGGGGAGTGGGGATGGAAGGGACAGAGGAGGAGACGACAGCTTTGCCGTACCTGAACCGCCAAAACGTAGAAAGAGCAGGTGGGACAACTAAAGAAATAAATAGAAACATCAAAAGAATTTAATGTGCAACCAACTGCTTCATGATGAGTTAGTCTCTTTTGTAAGCAGACATCAAAGCATATCAAGGGCTGACACAAGCACAGGACTTTAAATAGACGTGTACTGGCGCTCCTGTCAGGTTAGTTAGGACATCATCATTTGTTCAGAGCTAGACAGTGTGTCAGGCATATAAACACAAGCAACTCGGAGACAGCCACTGTACATATTCCATCAAGACCGTTGTTATTGTAAGTCAGTAGGGTCGAGCAATAGCGCTGTAATGAATCCTGCTGTTAGGTTGTGATGGTTGTTGTCTTTTTTCCTGTCACTGAGCTCCAAACATGCCTTTGTGCTTGCAAACTGGTTGCTTTATTTTGGATATTTGCCAACTGTGTTTGTGTGTTTGCATTTTGTTAAATGACAAACCTAACTCTAGGAACTGTTTATTTTTGGAGACACTCTGTGACGGTCAAACGTACTTATAAAAACCTATGTACAATTTTCTTTGTGTCTTGTATTTGAGTTTTAGTGAAGTGCCTTTCCATGGCATTTAGTCTCGTTATGCTTTTGAAATGTTTTTTCAAAAAGATGCATTTGATTTTACAAGAGGAAGTGTTCATTCACAAAAAAAGGAAAATGTGAAGTTTTGATTAAAAGACGTGTAAGGCATCCACCTTTCTATCTACTTTCTTTGACATTTGAACATCTGTTGAGCTCTATTTTGCTAGGATAAACAATTTCTTATTTTATACCTGTTCTTAAGATTAAGATTTACTTTTATTGATCCCCACAAGGGGAAATTTCAGTTTTTACACTCTGTAAGTCATGAACACACACACATGCAGAAACAGGATCCTATGGACATGCACTAATGGAGAGAAGACAGAGTGACGGAGCGGCCCACAGCGGGCGCTTAAACTGGCCACTTTAAGAAAGACATGTAGTGTGTATAGTATGTCTAGGTACCACTTTTTTTTTTTAACTTTAAAACATACTCCTCAAACTTGACCTGAAGCAAACACGAACATAAAAAAGACGTTGCAAAGACATTTTGCCAGATAAATTACTCAGGCTTCAGCATAGAAAGGTAGCATGAATTTAACACATTAATTTGTATCAGGTCTGCCTTGATGTCAGTGAAAAACAACAGGTGCACAGGGGGATACAATACCTGCATTATTCTACAATTATAGTAAACATAACTTTTTTTTAGGTTGTAGGTTCAGAATCACAAGAAATAAAACACTATAGAGGGTATTTTCAAACATGGTGCAAAAATCATGTACAGGAAAGTCGTCAGAAACAATTAAGCCTAATAAAGAAACTTTATCAGCAATAAAGCAAAAGAAGAAATCCCATTGATTACATAAAGATAAAGATAAAGAAGATAAAGATAAACTTAATTGATTCCCCGTGGGGGAAATTTGTGCATTACAGGCAGCTCAAGAAAACAGGGGACGGGAATATACTTATTAAAAATAAAAATAGAAGTTAAAAACAGATCAAACATATTTACATCATTTAAATAAATAAAAAATACAATAATGTAAAATTACACAGTAACTTGTTCTTAAAAAAAAAAATCATCATCATTTAGTCTTTACAAAAAAATCATCAACATCATTTAGTCTTTACAAAAAAATCATCATCATCATTTAGTCTTTACAAAAAAATCATCATCATCATTTAGTCTTTACAAAAAAATCATCATCATTTAGTCTTTACAAAAAAAAAGCTTTACACGTGCAGAGCGTTAAAGCTCGACAGTGACATCCTTGTTCTACTTGTATTTGTGGTTTGTACGACAACCCCTGAATGCATCAGTGGCAAGATGAGAACCAATAGCGTGCGACATCCTGCCGGAGAGAGAAAAAAAAAAAACCCTTCTGTTGAAAACCGAGACGTGAAGCGAAGCGGAGGGCAGAATCTCACCGGCACCGGGGCCATCGTCTACACAACAAAGCCTCCTTAGGGGAAGTAAATGTGAGTGCAGATATAAAACCTCCAGCCACAGAGTGAACAGTCTACATTTTATCAGCCGGTGTGTTGCAAGACAAGAAGCGCAGATGGTGAGTGTGTGTTTTTTTTTTCCTCCTGTGTTTGCACCGTGTGTGTGTCTGCAGCCTCCCCTCCCTCCGCTGCTCTCCTCTCTGCTTCTTTTTTTTATTTTTTATATATGAGATGAGGAGAGGTGATGTCTGTCCACTCGTTTTGGCTTCAGCTGACTAGGAGCCTATTTTTTTTTTTTGTAATATAAGCTTTAGAATTAAATAAAGATGTAAAATTCATTATAAAGGGGAGGTATTGTTAGAGGAGGGTCTTGTGTTGAATTTAAACGCCCGCCGTCGTGGTCCTCAAAATGCTAGCTTCACTGGCTAATTAATGTCAACCGACGACGTAATTTAAATAATTTATGCTTTACAAGTAAATAATTACAATTCAAGGAGGGGGACTTCTTTTTATGTGAGACATATGAGTTGCACAATTTGTCTCCATACCGAGCAAATCTACATTTTAAATGTCTGATGTTTTTTTTGTGTGTGGTCTCCTTTGTTTTTGCACAATGGTCGTGTTATGGTTTTGTGTTGTTGTTGTTGTTGTTTTTTTAACTAAATGTAATATTGTAGACTCCAGCTTGCAAAATGTTACATAAAATGTCTGTTTTAAAGCGAGCAGACTGTGAAGTTATCTCAAATATGGACTTTCAAGTGAGTTAACCAGCTAAAGACTGGGTCATTTAGAGTCAAGGAAATCCACGTTAAGCTTGTTGAATGGGCTCTTATCTAAATTAGGATTATGATTAAGGCTGGATTAAGTTTGCATTTGCGTTATCATCCTATTTTTGAGTGTCATATTATTGTTCTTGACTCTGTTTTTGTGGAGATTTGCCATTTAAAGAAACATGAGAAACCTGGTAATTGACACCACCCTATCCTCCTATCAGGTTACTGATCATCACCCTAAGATACTCATTCTCGCACTAAAAGAGGACGATGAAGTCAGGTCTTTTCATGCCTGAGTACAGTGTAGGCCTACTTGAGATAGATGGTTGTCATACAAAGGTTTTTTAAATCCAAGATAAGGAGTTTATCCAGGTTTAAATCTAGCATAACATGTTTACATGAGCAAAGCATAACTGGGATACTCAAAAGCAATTAAGAAGCATACTGTAGCTCAAAGGTCCTCTAAATGGGGATTGCATAGAATATAAACCAATTACAGTATCAAATAAAATCCACAGCAGTTTATGAATGCACCTGCAGCTGCTGAAATATTCAGCTGAGTCATACCAAATGAATGGATTAAACCTCTGCGTAAACCAGCATTGGATTAAAACTACCCCAGGTGAAAGAAAACATGTTTTTCCACTCTTCACACATTTTTCTTGTCCGTGTTTGTTTTGCGGGACAGTTTACACACTGCTCCGTGGGCTGCTAAAACCACTTTTTGTCCAATCTCGGGTACCACATTTACACTAGTCTGTCATTATAGCCCTGGCATATGGCGAAAGGGCTTAAGTAAGTATATGGTCAGTTTCATTTCCTGCCTCCGTCAGTGGGCTGCCTGACTGTAATTCCAGTCCAAAGTGACAGCACAGATTGACACCCTGCTCTGATGAATGATTTACGTCACTTTTCTGGTGGATTTAAAACCCTGTTTTTGTAATTTGATGTCTTTGTCCAAAAAGATTTAGCAAAAAAAAAAAGATTTTGGCTTTGAAAGGACTTGGTACGAAAGCTGCCTGAGGGACTAATAGCGTTTATTTTGTTCGACCATATGCTCCTTTTCAAACAATTTTCATTAACGGAACAAAAACCTGGTTTGGTGGGCATGTCAGAAGTGCCATATGTTGGGAGGAGGGGGTGTTTTCCTGTTGTCAGATGTGCAGAACAGTAGTAAATGGGTCGCCAGCAGGACCAGGCAATAGAGCTGCAGGCAACAACAGCCAAAGTAGTAGTTTTCCCTAAATGCATACCTCTATCTCTTCTAATTCCAATCATTTATTTTACTACAGTTAGTTGATGCCTGAAAATGGAAACTATAGTCCAGGTGGTTGCTTGAACAAAAAACAAATGCACAGCCTCCTATCAGGCCTGGGTGAACAGGTGGATGTTTCTCAGTGTGATATAATGTTTGAATGTATTTTTAACTTGACAGTAATATATTGTGTGAAGCACATTAATTTTACATTTTGAGCAAACCAAAAGGTAATTATTTTCCAGTCATCAGATTCAGATTTATTACCAAAGTACCTTTTTTAAATCACAAGGAATTTTGCCTTGGTCTGATGGTGCATACAGTAAAAAAAAAAGAGTAAACAATGGAGGTAAGGAAGCGTAAATACAAAACAGACATTGTGACCATTCCAAATTTTAAATATACCATTGGATGAAACACATTTATAAATATTTGTTTAGACTGTCTGTTATTGCTCTTCATAGAAGTGATGCTATTCAGATTTCAGTCGTTTAGATCAGTCACTCTTGTCTAATAGCAGCACTCTGCCCTGCAGGTCTTTCTGTAAAAGATTCTCAGTAATAATAATTGAAATAAAAACAAAAATGCACCCATGTTGATTTGAATCTCTTTGACTGACAGATATTATAGGTTACCTGGTTTCTGAAGACACAAAGGCAGATTGTGAGGAGTTTCCCAAAGAGTCAAATCAACAATAGTCTTCATATTTTGAAATCTGAAGAGCCATTTGGGAATCTACTCACTGCAGCTTAAATGATCTACATTAAACGTTTGGGAAATAACTATTTGAGACAGTCTTTTATGGGAAATTAATTCTTAAAACAGCAATTTAAGTCCTTCAGTTGCCCCAGTTCAGGAGTCTTTGGGAATTGGAAACTTCACAGACCCGATATTTAGACATATTTTTTCAGGCTGGCTCGGGCATGTTCTCCTGAATTCCAGTCCTTAAGGGGAATCTGGTTATGAAACGTTCCTCTCTCCTCTGGCTTGCGATAACATCTGATCAGTCGTAGC